GGCGAGGCCTTGGGCGCAGAGGGCAAATTTACTTGGATCCTTGTCAATTTTTTTGATCCTTATGTAAAATTTTTTTTGATCCTTATCAAATTTTTGTTTGATGCCTATGCCCCTACTGAGGCCTACTGATCAGCTGATCGCCGTCCTGGCTCACGGCTCACAACAACAATACTTGGATGTGCGTCAAGGGACCATCTGGCCCCGCATCGATATTGACGGGAGCCGCCGCATCTCCACCTTGACTGCACTGTAGCAAACCATCCACTTCTTTTGGAAAGTAGATTTATCGCCGATCATGGAACGGGAGGCGTGTTGCTGCTCAGCGTTGCTTAGTGCAGCACGCAGCAGCGACCGCTCACCAAAATGTGCTGCACGACTTAAGTTGGTGAGGAACTCGTTCTCCTCATGCACGCAAGACTCCGCTACCTCCAATTGTGTCTTGAGAAATGCAGGAAGCCTTCTTCCCATTTTTCTCTTGGTCCAAGCTCACCTGAGCTGGTGCTAGGCAGCGTGCTGCCCGACACAAAAGTCTTGTGAGGAATTAACTCTAACTTAGCATGCCTAAAGAAGAGGGTGGTGACGTGTGAATAAGCATGTGTGCATGCCTCCCTGAATAGCTGACAGCATTCAAAATGGGTAGTGACTGTCAGAACCCCAGCTTGGCAAGCACTATCTTTTCATTTCTCTCTTCTTTCAAACAAACGACTGCACGGTCAGCATCCGAGTTTACCGTCTGTGGCGTTTGTGGAAGCTCTACCTTCTGTTTCCGTCAATCATGCAACTCGCCGCCGAGGGGCCACACCCGTTCCTGAGTGTATCACATACCTCGGGACCAGAACTCATTCATGCGTCGTGGACAACATGGGCAGGGCCGACCAAAGCTCCAATGCCGCAGAATGGCCACAGCTTGGCCGACCGCATCAGCCCTTGGTGAAGCACGCGTTCACCAGGCTGGAATTCCACCAGACCTTCCGGGCATTCGAAGGCTCCCAAAAGAACACTGCACAATCCTGTTGTGTCAAACTTTGCCAACTCGTCCTGGCCTATGGCATTGCATGCCAGCTCAAACCTTTCAGATGCCAAGAGTGGTGAGAGAATTTGGACCTGTCACAAGCAAGACAAGCTCGTATGTGATTTCACTCTCAGGACCTGGGTCGCTGTAGCGACATTACTGTAGGAATGCATGGGCCTGCAGGACATTCGGCATGGCAGAACTTGATGTGCCAATGACAGGCAAACATGCAAGAATCCAGCTGCAGCAGGCATGTCTGTCTCACGGAGGAATTCATTCTGCTTGTTCTTTGACGCTTGTTGGCTGGGCTGACAGGTCCTCAGGCCTCTTCCAGCAAGCTGAGAAATTCATCGAAGCGCTTCCCTCTCCTCGAAGCTTCGAGTTCACACGGTCCGGGTTGGCCGTTGTGCTGTGTGCTTCACGCTGCACTGCCATGGACGCTAGCCATCAGAACTGAGATGGGGATCCGATTGAAGCAGGCAGTGAAGTGCTGGCGGTCGATCACGTACATGGTGCAATCCTCCTAATAGCAGGTTGTCAGCGCTAACATCTACCAATGGCGACTAAACTGACAAAGTTTGCAACATCTAGCTGCTCCTTTGCGGAGAACTCTGCATGCATTGGCATCTTGTACCTGCAGCACCATGCTACTGATACAGTAGGCCTCTCTTCCTGGAACATCATACCGGCCAGACCATCAGGATCAGACTGCTGTGGTCATTCATCTTAGCATAATCGTCATCCCATAATCGTCATCCGAACCATCACCGGCACCATCACTATCATCATCATCATCATCACCATCACCATCATCACCATTATCATCATCATCATCGTTGTCGTCGTCATCATCATCACCGGCATCATGACGATGAACGGCACTGTCATCATCATCTTTTTTACCCTTCTTCTTCGAGGTCGTCCTCGTCGTCGCACCGTCATGATCGTCACCTACAACTACAGTGTGAACCTCAGTAGCGGCGACACCATCCTCATTCTCACCATCATCGCCATTATGTGTTCCGTCCTAAGCAGACAAAATGGAAGCAGGACCCCTTGCTCCTACAGTTCGGTCAGACCAGCGTTTGCATCTACTTACCCGGCATAGCGTCGTTGAATTGCATGGCATGCGGCTCCTACCTGGCGCTGTTCGCATTTTCGACGGAGTGCGCTTTCCTTGACTGTCCATACCCCAGATCGTAATGGCTCGGCTACTGATAAACAAAATTCCGCAAGCGAGTTGTCGGAATGTCTCAGATCAGGAACATTGCCAAACTTGTGCAGCGGCGACCTTCACCCCCACTCGAAAGTGATCCACCCGGCTGCCTACTTGGTGGAGCGAATTGGGTTTGAAAGTGCACTTAGGACCATCTTCTCCACGCCGGATCTCAAGGATCCCTCCGCACCGATGCCGGTTGGCCCTCTACTGTGGACAAACTCGGTGTCGCACGCTTTGGCCAACAATGGCCGGTGGCGCAGTGACTCTCATCCTCCTCCGTGTCGTCATCGTGACGGCCTTTGTTTGGTCTGTGAGAAGTGGTTTTGCTGTGGACGTGGTTGGTGCGGCCAGCACACACGTCACCCCTTAAAGAGAACAGGGTCAGGCTTCAAGGCACTTGCGGGCCTGCATTGGATTGGGATCACGTGGCCGTCCCATTGCTGAGCCCTTTGCAACAGCAAGGAGTGCCGTTTTGTTCTCACCACGCACCACGACTCTGCAATTGCAGCATTCGCACAAGGGTGGAGCGCTGGTTTTGACAGGCAAGGGTTGTGATTCCGAGCGATAATGGAGGTTGCTGGCCCGGTATTACTCGTGCTTTGGTGTCTCCCGCCCTTCTCTTTCCTCCCTTCCCATGGCAAAATTTCTGGATCACGGTCAAGCCTTGCACCTTTCTCAGTTGACGTTGCCAAGACAGCCGGCGAGCCCGGTGCCGAATTCACTGAGTCATTCTGGCTCAAGCTGCTGCATAGGCCACGTTCCCGCTATCATAGGCCGAAGTGACCACTCATTCTCCGTGAAGGAGACAGCTACATCCAGTTGCAGTCGGCTTCTGTCTCAGTCTCAACCAAGGAAACTTAACGTTACTGCCGCTATCAAGGACTTGCGAGGAGTCATGGACGTTGGGACGCCAAATCCTAGCACTTTAGCAATGCTGGTGCAAGCCTCAATGAGCGACTTAGGCCGTTTGCAGAGTTGGCTGCCTCACAAAATAAGGGCGTATTTCAAGGAAGATTTTGCCGGTTGCTCAGAAGGCTTACCGTCTCTACGTTGGCCGGGGAATCGACGCAACGGAGCTTGAAGAGACGAGCGACCGTGTTTACAAGACGTTTCGAGATGCAGCCTTCAACCCCGGACCCACTGGGCTCCTCACACTTGCTAGTGAGGAGATCATGTATTGACGCAGCAGCAGCAGCAGCAGCAAGAGCGGTTGCAGCAGCAAAAGCAGCAGAACCAACTATACTATATAATCGTCATCACCATCATCATCATCATCATCACATCACAATCCGCATCCTGACAATATTGTTCATATGCCATGCCCATAAACATGACCGCGACATCACACCAGGAAAGTAGCATAAGCAAATTCGTGGTCATCGTCGCCATCGTGAGCAAAAACTGTAATCAGCTGCCATCATCGGAAGCAATGGCTGCATGATTTGGCATTTTCTCGAAAGCGCACATAATGGAAATCTTCGGGACATGCAGCAGGAATCACATGTGCGGATGTAGGGTTCTCACAGAATGGACAGCTCACCGAAACTGTCGCCAGCGGCTAAACTTGTCTCCTTAGTTGATGCATGCGCAGATCGTCCAAACAGGAATGCTTTCTGAAACACAGCATTGTGCAAGATGTGTGCGTTGGCCACCTCACTGCTTCGTGTCCGCTCACTATGTGATCTGAGCTTCGGTGTCGGCATTGCCTCTTTCTTTGTGCTCGTCGTTCTGCTGGGGTTGACTTGGCACCCCGCCTTAAGATGATCAATGGATTCCGCCAAAAGCCGTGTGCTGGCACTCATGGGCTCCACAAGAAAAACGCCGCTCAAGATCAAACAAACGCGGGCTCGGGCGCCGACCCCCGGCAATCCCGCTCAAGCGACGTACTTGCCTGGCAGCAGCCCCTTGACGTGGCTGCGCTCGCCCACCTCGCAAGCAGTGCAAAAATAGACAACGAAACCACATCTCCGATGTTGCAAATTACAACAGCTAGAAACTAAGCTGCACTGCAAGTCCTTCCGTCTCGGCACAGGGGCTTGATTTATCGGCCAGACAGGGGCCGTGCGCTGTGCATTCGCCCGTCGCAGCGGCTGGTGTCCGGCATGTGCAGTCTTAAGACAGGCAAAGCGGCAAAGCTGACACCACAACAGTTCGCAGGCATGTCTCCTGTGCTCGGGTGATCCAAAAACTGGACTGATGTCTTAGGGTCGTTCTTTACGCAAGAAAGCCAGAACAAGGTACCTTATGTGACCTGAACACAGCTGTCCGTGTGGGTGTTCAACGTTCAACCCTGCCCGTGCGCAGCTTGCCTTTTGCAGGATGTCAGACCTTTAGCTTCAGCAAAGTTTGGTGCACACCCGTGAACTCGTTGGAACCTTTTTCACAAACACACACACACACACAAATGCACGCACACACACACACA